AATAGCTCTTTTTTGAGTAATCCACTTATGCCACTATTTCTTTGGTTATTAGCCAATTGGATAGTTTCTGCTTTTTCCATTTATTGTTAAGTAACGGTTTCTTCAATCTTGAATGGTAACTGGCATTGACCATAACTATTACAGAATTGGTCGGTAATAAATACATCATTTGACTGATATATTCCTCACAAACATCAAATATATCAGCAATAATTTCTTCATGGTAGTCTGTGGTAGAATTTAAAAAAATTCTAACAAGCCTCTATCAACAAATCCTTTATCTCCTCTAATATGAGTGATAATTAGACGGCGACCTTTACCATTTGGAAAATTTAAGCTAGTCGACAAACCTGCTATAAATGCTTGACGAGCATTTGTAAACTGTTTATCTTGCCAAACTTTTTTCCAAAATCTCCCTTATTTATCCATGTTTCATCTAAATAAAAAATATTTTTGTCTTCTCTTCTTAATTTTTTAATTTTCCTTAAATATTGCCTGCTCCAACAGATAATTTTATCTTTCTCTATGAGTGCAGATTTTCTAACGTTCTTCTCCCAAACGAAGTCCAATTCATATAGGTACGTACCTAAAGTTTTCTCTTTTAACGTTTGTCAAAGTTTCGTCTCTATTAATGTCTTTGGATAAACTAAAAGTAACAAAAATAAGAATTCTAATAATTTTACAACGATTTGTTTAATGCTACTGGTTTCGAAGTTAGAATTTACTTCATCTTCAGGCACGCTGTTATTATTACCTTACGATAAAATGTAAAATAAACTATTTGGGAATAAATTCTAACTTTTCTTTTCCATATGGGCGGCGAGTTAGCTTTCGCCGAGGTCAATTCATGTAATAATATAATAATTCAAAGAATAGATTTAAAAAATCAAATTTACAAGACAACTTTATTCAACCTCGTTAGAACAGAGAATGAACTAATATATTAAAAGAAAAGATGATTAGCCTCGGCCGTCTTCTTCTAATCAACAGTTCTATTGTCAGTTGGGTAAATTCTGTGTATGTAACTCAATAGAACTTTAAAAAAATAGATTATACGGCCACAATATTAGGTTCTGTTAATTTACTATCAATATTTGTTTATGTGCGACTTGACTGATTTTAAATAAAATTAATAATGTATTTAAAGAAATAAACCTCTGAAATTTTGAATAGACCATCCCTATAACTTTTTACCCTCTATTATCAATTTAATTTCGACATTCACCTCAAGAAATTCTTAATTATCCTATTCATAATCCTAACTAGATACAACCATCCGGTTACACAAAGAAATAAAATTATTAACATACCTGCGGTACCATAAAATACACTATAAATAATTTCAAAATAGCTTTCAGTTGGAGCTAAACTGTACAACTATAACAATTAAGCATATTAAAAATTACAAACTATATAGCACCCTTCAAAAAAAAAGTCTCTTTTGTCAATGACTCTTGAAGTTATTCAGAAAACGACAAAAGAGCAGGCAGTTGGCTGTCACGTTAATAAATTAATGTTTTATTATGGGGCTATGGCGTAGATGAGGGAAAAGATAAGGTCAAAATCACCGCATGATATTCTTTACAAATTTTACAAATTATTTAAAAAAAAATATTATGAATACTAAATTGTTTAAACATTTAGGAATATTTTTTTATAAAAATAAGAAAAATAAATATAGTTCATAATTTTGTATATCCAATTATCCAGGAAAAATTTTTCGATTTGGACGAAGTCAACTTATTTCACCAATATAGCAAGAGCTGAATGAAAATAATTCAATGCATTTCTTTCACATACGTATAAACATTGGTATTTAGTGCAAAAATGTTTTATGCTCACATTAGTAGACTCCATGCACTAGAAAGTAGCTCTTCTGTTTTTCTTCTCCACTTATATCAAATATCATTATTGATAGACGATAGATCTACTAAAGTTTTTCTAGGCACAAGGTTTATTTTGCCAGGCCGGTGCTGTTAAGCCTAAAGTGTCGTATTATTAAGGCCTACTAGTATTATTTTTATTCTGATAGACGAGTTTTGGTAGTGGTGAGTTATTTAAACATTCACTGCTTTGCATTGTTTCTTGACGATTGAATGCCTTTGTTACACCAATCCCAATTCTATTAGGTCTTCTAAACAGTTTGCTTTGAGTGCACAAGCATAAAACAGTAGTTTTAACTTCGCTGATGATCTTCAGTTTACATAATATGTTTTCCATTTACCTTCTAACTGCTTCTTTTTCATTTTGATGTAATATTGTTGTTGTTTCTATCTGGAATACTGTCGCATATTTACCCAAGCTCAGTGGGATTCTTTTCTTTGGCTTGGAAATATAAATACATACTCTGATAATTAGTTGATTTTGCACGAATCTATATACCAGGTGTGTATAGTAGGTCCTCCCTTCAACAACTTCCAGTCTAATATGCTTACTTTGTACGGTTTTTTAAAGATACATCTGGGAACATCTCATCTAATGAAAATTCCATTATTTACTCGCTTTCCAAATGAGGCAAATTTACGTTCATTTACGTGTAGTAACCTAGCTATATACAGATTACAGACTGTTGAATTAGCTGCAAAAAAATTTTAAATGTTTTATTCATCCAGTACAATAATTTACTTGTTTTTTTGTCTTTTAATAACCTTGGTACATAAGTGACAAGTCAATTTGCTAAAGGTAAAAATAAGCTAACAGATACAATTCTGGAATAATCAATTGAGTGGCAATCAGTTAATTTTATGCCTAGTCGAACTTAGTTAAAGTCTAAATTAACCATCGCAAATGATTTTTTTAGCTTTTTTCTGTTTTAAATATTGATTCACCTACCTTCATTTATTTATTATTAAAAAAAACTGTTGTCCCATTGGAAAGAAATGTTGATAAAATATTATTTGTATTTCCATTAGACAGTCTAAAATTTATTTTGTATCCCTTGCCAAAAGTATTTATGTGCGTCCTTGTTTTTAACATTATTTATTACTGTTAATAGTGCTTGACTCTATGAAATAATATACTTCGGTCTTCAGTATATTTAGCGACCGTTTACGAGTCATTATGAGGGGAGATGAGCTCAATAAAAACCGGCAGATGGCTGTGATTTCAATTGTTGACTGGTCGTCATGGTTACTGCCCAAATATAACATGTTTTTCACTTACCAACATTTATTTGCAACGCATTACCATTGGCGTAAAGTGACATTTGTATTTATATAAACAGTTTTTCATTGTAGTGTGGATTTCTATGGCGTTTAATATCAAATTAGCCTATAGGCCATTTATCGAGATTGGATAGGAAGATGGCTGAATTGAAAATATATAGAGGAGAGATAATGGTGTTATAAATCTGAAGCAGTTAAGAGATCGTTAGTGGCCATATTAGTTTGGGTCGATTTGACGTGCAGAATGCGTGGATTAGTTAAGGAGCGTTTATTGCTTAACATAAAGGTCTCTTTTAATAAATTTTTAAATAAGTTTACAAGAAAACTATAATTGATTTCTATTTTCTATTTGCTTTCATGTAAATTAATAATATTTTCCCTAAAAACTTTGTAATTGATAAATTGCAAAATAAATATGAATTTAGTAGAAATGAAAAAGCCTCTCATTTTTTGACTAGATTGAAATATTCTAACAATTATATTTCTTTTCAAAAATAATTAAAATACGCCTTTCATTAACATGTATACAACGTTTATTGTGAACGTCTGTTAAGGATTAACATCTAAGTTTCGTACCTAGGTAAACTTTTCAGCTTAAATCGGATTTTCAACACCTGAAAAGATTAAAATCTAAGTCAATCATCTCTTTGGCACGTGTGTAACGCCCAAGTATTTATTTTCAAAACTTTACGTCAAGATTAGAGTCAAAAAGTCAACTTTGGGTCTGCAGGTACCTGTCCGTGTAAATAACAAATAATAAAAACCAAGAAAAAGTTGTGATTTGTTTCATTTTGAATTTACTTGGAAATTGTTTGTTACAATATTTTGTTAGGAAATTGGTTTTACAGGGTTTAATATTTTAAGCCTTTTAGGTAGATTTATATGTTTTTGTGTAGACTGGCTTATTGTGTTAATCTTTTTATGACGATTGTAGTAATCTCCAAATATCTTGTTAGCAAATTGTATTATTTGTTAAAAAAAAGTATCTAAAATTATTAAATTAATATTACAAAATATTTTTGTTTATGAATTAAACAAATGTTATTTCTAAAATATATAAAAAACAAGAAACAAATATATTTTCCAGATATTTCTAGGATTGTATTGCCTTTAGAATATTAAATATGTATGATTTAATATACTCACTCGAAGGAAACCAAAAACCTAATAATTATTTCTTTAGAATTGCTAGTAAGGATACTTTTTTAATTTTGATTATACTTAATTATTCTAATTCTTAGAATATTTCTTAAAATATTTCTTAGACTATTTTTTAGACTATTTTTTAGACTATTTTTTAGACTATTTCCTAGACTATTTCTTAGACTATTTCGTAGACTATTGCTTAGACTCTTCCTTAGACTATTTCTTAGACTATTTCTTAGACTATTTCTTAGACTATTTCTTAGACTATTTCTTAGACTATTTCTTAGACTATTTCTTAGACTATTTCTTAGACTATTGCTTGAACTATTTCTTAGACTATTTCTTAGACTATTTCTTAGACTATTTCTTAGACTATTTCTTAGAATATTTCTAAGACTATTTCTAAACTATTGCTTAGACTATTTCTTAGATTATTTCTTAGTATATTTCTAAGAATATTTCTTAGACTATTTCTTAGACTATTTCTTAGAATATTTCTTAGCCTACTTCTTAGACTATTTCTTAGACTATTTCTTAGACCATTTCTTAGACTATTTCTTAGACTATTTCTTAGACTATTTCTTAGACTATTTCTTAGACTATTTCTTAGACTATTTCTTAGCCTACTTCTTAGACTATTTCTTAGACTATTTCTTAAACTATTTCTTAGACTATTTCTTAGACTATTTCTTAGACTATTTCATAGACTATTTCTTTTTCTTGAACTAATTCTTGGACTATTTCTTGCACTATATGTTGAACTATATGTTGAACTATATGTTGAACTATATGTTGAACTATATGTTGAACTACATGTTGAGCTATATGTTGAACTATATGTTGAACTATATGTTGAACTATATGTTGAACTATATGTTGAACTATATGTTGAACTATATGTTGAACTATATGTTGAACTATATGTTGAACTATATGTTGAACTATATGTTGAACTATATGTTGAACTATATGTTGAACTATATGTTGAACTATATGTTGAACTATATGTTGAACTATATGTTGAACTATATGTTGAACTATATGTTGAACTATATGTTGAACTATATGTTGAACTATATGTTGAACTATATGTTGAACTATATGTTGAACTATATGTTGAACTATATGTTGAACTATATGTTGAACTATATGTTGAACTATATGTTGAACTATATGTTGAACTATATGTTGAACTATATGTTGAACTATATGTTGAACTATATGTTGAACTATATGTTGAACTATATGTTGAACTATATGTTGAACTATATGTTGAACTATATGTTGAACTATATGTTGAACTATATGTTGAACTATATGTTGAACTATATGTTGAACTATATGTTGAACTATAAGTAGAACTATATATTGAACTTTATATTGAACTATAGGTTGAACTATAAGGTTGAACTATAAGGTTGAACTATAAGGTTGAACTATAAGGTTGAACTATATGTTGAACTATTTATTGAACTATTTCTTAAAATATCCTTTTTTGGACTACTATGTTTGACTATTTTCAGACTTGTATATGTGCAATTTGACATGAAACCATGCATTCTAATTTATATACAATTAGGTTTTAGTTTTCCAATATTTCTTTCATTTCAATATTTTTACATTTTTTTATATTTTATCAAAAAATACGCGGAAACCTAGGATATTCAACTCAATTTTATGTCGATTTAAACTAAATTACATCTTTTCAATAATCCTTCATAAACAAGCTAGAGCTCATTGAAGTTTACGAATTAATTTCTTAATTTCACAAGAAATGCAACCAGATCAATTTAGATTTTTTTAGAAAACGGTGCGCTATAGCGATGTTAAACAAAAGAACATTATTTTTAGATACCTTACAATTTACGCATACGATATACAAAATCTAAAGGTGACAAAATTATAATTGAAAATATTTATTGAATCCTCCATTTCAGACTCTTGCGATTACAATAGAAAAACAAAAATTACAACAACCAATTGATTATTAGAAGCTAACTCAATATGCAATTTTTGAGGTACTGTAATTTTTGAGGTAGGTATATTAAAAAAAAATACTTTACGGCGCCAACTTCAAAGAGCTCGAGCTTCCTTTATCATTTTCGGCTTAAGGTGATTTAAGTTAAATCGACAAAAAATTAATTCTAGGGTCTTTGATTGGCAGGTGAGTTCTGTGACACCCTATATAAGCTTTTTTTCCCAAAATGAATAGGTGGGTATCTAATTGTATCTGTATAAATGTTCATTCATTTATTATGGCTAACATCGAAATGGGGACAGATCTAAATGGAAGGACCATTTTAAATACTAAATACCCAGTTAATGACTGTAATGGTTCAAATGACTCTCCATAAAAAAAGAGATAAGCTCTCAATAGCAGTTTTAACCATTTAATATTGCAGCATTTGAATTTAAAGCATAAAATCGATGGTGTTTTTTGCTTGGGGTAATTATACCCGGTAAAAATATAAAATTTTATGTTTTTCGGGATAAATTGATTTTTCGATTTTACAAGGGGTAAATGATAAGTAAATAAATCCGTATTCCTCTGTAGAAGATCAAATAGGATACATTTGCGACAATTAAGAAGCATTTTGAAAGATATTGTATAACATGCTTATAAATTTTTGTTGAAACCGAAATAGAAACTTAATTTTTTCCTTTCAACATCAAAACTTTTAAAGAGAGGGATGAAAACAAAGATGATATATTAAAATATTGACTCGTTATTTCTGGGTAGCAAAATTGTAGGTATGTCACACCGGGGAATTGTGGGTATTCTGATACAATATGAATATACAGGGTGGCCCATTAGTACGAGGAATTCCAATTTCCCCCTTTCATAAGAAATATGAAAAAATGTTTTACATAAAAATTATAGGGTTTACTTTTTTGCTATTTACTAAAATGCTGTGAAATATACATGATGTTCCGTTATATTTTTAAACGACTCACCCTGTATCTTTTTTAACCATTGATTTCAACGTAAAATGTTATGTCCCAAGATTTTTTACACTCTGCGATGATATCAGTTTACGACCAGAAATGTGAAAAAATACTGAAAAATTGCCCAGGACAAATATTGAAATAACTTTTATTCTTAGCAGTTAAGTACGAATATTTGGTAAATACAAAGATAAAGGGTAGCTGAATCGTCTGAGGGGAACAAAAGTTTATTTTTATGTTCAGGCGATTTTATACGAGAGAATCCACTTGCCAATCTTTAAACAAATAAAACTTAATTTTTTAAAATTAAACACCCAGTATATTATTTCACTATTTGTTATTATAATTATAGGCCCTAAAATTAATTCACAAAGATTTTAAATTTATTAGCCTGAGAGCCGCTTGCAAAAACATTCGTTAAATTATTGTACAAATCTGATAGTATTTGACAGATCTTTGGACTCGGTAATTTAAATGAATTATATTTATTACATTTTCAAGGTTAGTCAAAACACGGTGGATTTACACTAGGGGCAGTCGGGGCTAGTGCCCAGGGCGGCAAATTGCTGAAAAATTTTAATTTAGCACTTTTCCTCCAATTTTTCCATTACGGTCCATTTTAGAAAAGTCATTTAAAAACAAAAATTATAGAGATCGATATCGCAAACAACTTTTAGATTAACAATTTTCTTAAAAATCAGAATTTTGCACATTTTGTCAAATTTCTCGAATACGGACCATTTCAGGAAAATTTGACATAGAACAAAAATTATAGATAATAATATTGTAAGTAACTTTTATTTAAAGAATTTTCTTCCCCAAACGTAAATAACGAATATATTCCATAAAATATAAAAATGACCACCAATAAAGTACCCCCCCCAAATGTTCCGACTCTGTCCAAAATCTAATCAGTTCACTTCAGGTCGAAATAAAACTTAAGTTTAAAATTTAATGTTTTTTCCTTTATCCGTTTTTGAGTTTTCTTCAAAATTCGAAATTTACACATTTCTCAAATATCTCGAATACGGTCCATTTTAGAGAAATTATTTATAGGATAAAAATTATAGAGAATTATATTACAAACAACTTTTATTTGAACAATTTTTATAAAAAAATATTTTTTTTACATTTTGTCAAATTTCTCGAATACGGACCATTTTAGGAAAATTTTGCATTAAACAAAAATTATAGATAATTATATATAATTATCTTATAAGAAGTAACTTTTATTTGAAGAATTTTCTTCTCCAAACGTAAATAACAGATATATTCCATAAAATATAAAAATGACCACCTATAAAGTACCCCCCCAGATGTTCCGACTCTGCCCAAAATCTAATCAGCTCATTGGACGCTGAAACAAAGCTTAAGTTTAAAATTTGGTGTTTTTCTGTGTATCGGTTCATGAGTTATGCGACCTACAGACACACACACACACACACAGACACACACACACACACACACACACACACACACACACACACACACACACACACACACACACACACACACACACAGAGACATCATCGCGAAAATAGTCAAAACGGATTCAGGGGACCTCAAAACGTAAAAATCCGTCGAAAACTCGAGGTCGAAAAAAATCATGATTCCTATACTTTCCTTATATCTGTATACAGATAGGAAAGTAAAAAGTGTCTGTTCGTGGGCTTGAACTCGGAACCTTTCGATTCCTAGACGAGTACTCTAAATATTCGTTATTTGCAATACATTAGATATTTAAACTTTTTATAAATAAGTTATCAAAACTACATAACTTTTAGTGATATTTCAATGATGGGGCGGCATTTTTTTTCAGTGCCCAAGGGCGGCCAAAGTTTAAATCTGGCCCTGAAACTCTGACGTTCTTGTAACCGACCGTGAATCTGTTGGAGTGTTGAACTGTCTCAAGACCAAACAATCCCTAGTAAAGGAGCAACACGGGTTCTGCCTCATTCCCCATGTTAATTCCCATAAGAAATCGCTAAGGTTTATTCTGCACTTTTTTGTCCATATCAAGGTCATTCGTCTTGAAGTCACGCAGAAACGTCAAACGTCAAACGTTAAACGTGAATCGTCAAACGTCAAACGTCAAACGTCAAACGTCAAACGTCAAACGTCAAACGTCAAACGTCAAACGTCAAACGTCAAACGTCAAACGTCAAACGTCAACTGTCAAACGTCAAACGTCAACTGTCAAACGTCAAACGTCAAACGTCAAACGTCAAACGTCAAACGTCAAACGTCGCAAGCAAAAAACACGACATGCCACTTTTTGTAATGAGCTAGACTATGACTACCGTAAAACGGGGCTACTTGATAAAACTTTTTGGAAACTTCCCTCGGTCGGCATCAAAACATATTCTTCTTTCAAAAACCAAAATTATCTTGTTAAACTTTTAGGCCTAGAGAAGCTCTGACGGTATCAGAAAACATTTTAGGCCTCACATTTTTCCCAAAAAAATATTTAAAAACATTAAAATAATAAAAAATATTTTATGGTTTTAAAAAGTCTTAATTTTCAAGTAAGATTGCCATAGGGGCTAGCTGAAAACAAGAGAATGAAAATATTTCCACTGGGCAGCAGTGGGTTTTATGAAAATCCATTAAAAACACAATTTTTGTATTATTTTATTCTCAGAAGAATCTTAAAATAAAGAAAGTTGTTACTTCATCAAAAACTAGATACAAAACATTTACTAAACTTAAATACTTCATTGTAGAAACTAAAATACTTTATTGTAGAAACTTAAAATTAATTCTTAAAGTTATTGAAACGCTTTTAGTTTGAAAATGATAACCGGTAACTGGGTAACAGCGAATAAAAATTAAACAAACCAAAGATTCCTTGAATTTTAATTTACCTCTTCTTAGAATTTCCTTGATGGTTCGTGTCTTTATAATTTCACCTCTTTTAACAAGCCCAATAAGATCGTTAACTGGAGATACATAGCTGTTTTTTATTTTAAGACTTGGTCGTAAAAATTTGCAAGTGCAGCTGTTTTCTTCAGGGGAATTTATTTCAGCTACAAACTTCTTGGAGATTCCACTTTCTGATTTCATGTTCACAACATAATGACCGCATTTTACTTTTCCGGCAACACCGATGCTGTTTTTCACAATCTTCGCTGCTTCGCACACATTGTTCTCAGAGTTGTCATTAACCAGTTTATCTTGCGAATGCTCGTCCTCGAAGGCTTGATTTTCTAGGTCATAAAATGTTTCGGGGTTATTATCAGAATCATCATTTGCAGACCATACATCTTTGCATTTCTGCAAATAGGTAGGTAATACTCTCAGTACTTAACAGTGCTAACTTTCTCTTTGATTTCGGTCTTATTTTTTGGGTTGTGTGTATGATAAATATTCAATATCTTCTTGGCGAATAGTTTGCCAGGTTCCTCTGACAATTTCTTTTTTGCCCTCCACTGGGCGTTCCTACTCTTCCAAATCTCCCCCCTTGAAACAGTTCTTTAATAGTCTCTCCTAACATATTTTCTGCTTGTGCCTTGTGCCGCACCCTCAATATCTTTACGAAGTTTAGAGAGGATGTTTTGGTGCTTAATCGGCAATACGCCAGTTACTTCAAATCGAGATATAATATTGTTCTCACTATTTACACTCTACAGGCATCGCTTTTACAGCCTTGGGAACAAATCTTTCCTTATTTTGTGTTTCTTCCAATCTCTTAGAATTTGTCTCAATTTGCTTTAACTGGTATAAAAACGCTTAAGTTCAAAGGCTGGCATAAGTGAGTGCTATTAGGAGGTAGCAAAACAAAGCAAATATTGTTCTCTTCACAACTTTTAATAGCACCGACGGAGATATGGCTGGCTAAGTTATCTCCTATTAAAACTATTCGACCAGGAGGCAGAAAGTTAAAATATGGACCTGCAATTTTAGAAAACCAGTCTTTAAATAGATTGGAATCGAACCATCCAGAGCGGCTTCTGTTTTATCTTGCATTGGTAGGTCCACCCTCTGTCCAAGTCACCCACAAATAGTTCAACTTTTAGATGACGTATGGAGGTAGCAATATTCCAGATGCAGAGCAGGCAAACATAACGGATGTCTAAGATTTTGACATATCCATGAATTTTTCAGCTCTTTTGGATTGCTTTCGGACAATAACTTTGATACGCTCCAGTTTATCTGTAAAATAGGTCTCGTCGTAATTGAGCACTACTTCGGGAGGCACATTTTCAAGAACATTAAACAAGTTGTCAAAATAAGTTAATTGTCTTATGGTCAATTTTGGCTCGACTTTGCTTAATAGACTGAGACAAACTTTTTAACAGTTAATTTTTATGTCGATTCAAGAATTTTTCGGTCCAACCTTTCCCAGGTCAGTTATTTACAAACTGCTTTGATTAAACGCCCTTTATGTTTAAGTAGTTTTTAAGTGAATCTTTTATATCTGCGGGTTTAAACGGAAAACCCCATTCGGATGCTGTACAAATTGCACGAATAAGAGCTTTTTCTTCAGTTTCTGTCAACGCGGTACTACGTCCAGGCTTCTGCGCATGCAATTTGTTTATTTGTCTATATAATGTTATGTAAGATATACCATACTCCTCACTTAGTTGCATGAAATTACTACGCTTATACCTTGCTACAGCCTCATTCAGCGCATCTTCGCTGTAATTTCGATATGGCCTGCTCCCCACCTTCCTTTTGTATATTCGCACCATTATTTTCAAGTGGTCTCTGAAATGATATTAAAAAAACACGGGTTGCACTCCGGGAATGCCGGCAGAAGTGAAAACTTGAATATTAACGTTGTGAATTTTTGATTTTTTGGAATAATTAGGGAATAATTTTGAACGAATGCCTATTATTATTCCAATTTATTCCAATTTATTCCGATTTATTCCAATTTATTCCAATTTATTCCAATTTATTCCAATTTATTCCAATTTATTCCAATTTATTCCAATTTATTCCAATTTATTCCAATTTATTCCAATTTATTCCAATTTATTCCAATTTATTCCAATTTATTCCAATTTATTCCAATTTATTTCAATTTATTCCAATTTATTCCAATTTATTCCAATTTATTCCAATTTATTCCAATTTATTCCAATTTATTCCAATTTATTCCAATTTATTCCAATTTATTCCAATTTATTCCAATTTATTCCAATTTATTCCAATTTATTCCAATTTATTCCAATTTATTCCAATTTATTCCAATTTATTCCAATTTATTCCAATTTATTCCAATTTATTCCAATTTATTCCAATTTATTCCAATTTATTCCAATTTATTCCAATTTATTCCAATTTATTCCAATTTATTCCAATTTATTCCAATTTATTCCAATTTATTCCAATTTATTCCAATTTATTCCAATTTATTCCAATTTATTCCAATTTATTCCAATTTATTCCAATTTATTCCAATTTATTCCAATTTATTCCAATTTATTCCAATTTATTCCAATTTATTCCAATTTATTCCAATTTATTCCAATTTATTCCAATTTATTCCAATTTATTCCAATTTATTCCAATTTATTCCAATTTATTCCAATTTATTCCAATTTATTCCAATTTATTCCAATTTATTCCAATTTATTCCAATTTATTCCAATTTATTCCAATTTATTCCAATTTATTCCAATTTATTCCAATTTATTCCAATTTATTCCAATTTATTCCAATTTATTCCAATTTATTCCAATTTATTCCAATTTATTCCAATTTATTCCAATTTATTCCAATTTATTCCAATTTATTCCAATTTATTCCAATTTATTCCAATTTATTCCAATTTATTCCAATTTATTCCAATTTATTCCAATTTATTCCAATTTATTCCAATTTATTCCAATTTATTCCAATTTATTCCAATTTATTCCAATTTATTCCAATTTATTCCAATTTATTCCAATTTATTCCAATTTATTCCAATTTATTCCAATTTATTCCAATTTATTCCAATTTATTCCAATTTATTCCAATTTATTCCAATTTATTCCAATTTATTCCAATTTATTCCAATTTATTCCAATTTATTCCAATTTATTCCAATTTATTCCAATTTATTCCAATTTATTCCAATTTATTCCAATTTATTCCAATTTATTCCAATTTATTCCAATTTATTCCAATTTATTCCAATTTATTCCAATTTATTCCAATTTATTCCAATTTATTCCAATTTATTCCAATTTATTCCAATTTATTCCAATTTATTCCAATTTATTCCAATTTATTCCAATTTATTCCAATTTATTCCAATTTATTCCAATTTATTCCAATTTATTCCAATTTATTCCAATTTATTCCAATTTATTCCAATTTATTCCAATTTATTCCAATTTATTCCAATTTATTCCAATTTATTCCAATTTATTCCAATTTATTCCAATTTATTCCAATTTATTCCAATTTATTCCAATTTATTCCAATTTATTCCAATTTATTCCAATTTATTCCAATTTATTCCAATTTATTCCAATTTATTCCAATTTATTCCAATTTATTCCAATTTATTCCAATTTATTCCAATTTATTCCAGTTTATTTCAATTTATCCAATTTAAAAAATATCGACAATCGAAAGAAAACAATCGATTGTTCGATTAATCGATTTCGATGTTACAACACTACTCTCCAAGCGTCTTACGAATTTTCTATCAGCATACGTGTCCTGACGCGAGTTTCACAGTTTTTACCCATCCCACAAAAGTGCTCAACGCCGCTAAAGAAGTTTTCACTTTAAAAATAAAATCAGCGCCACTGATTCTCAAATAAAAGACAGGTTAGATTTGAGGTTACATTTGGATTAAGCGGTTAAAATTGCATCAGGGAAAAATCAGTGGTTGGCTATAGGTTATCAGAAGCGCTAGATAATGAAAAGTATAAGGATAATAAAAAACCATGTTTTTCACCTTATGGGGTCTATTCTGTAACTATAGTTGTTATCTGGCAACTTGTTATCTTATCACTTTCGTAGCAACTGTATATAACAACTTTGACAAAAGTAGCTATTCCAGTATTCACGATTGCTATTAGTCTATGCTGTATCATACAGTTAAGCTACCGACTGAGATGCTATGACCAAGAGGTCAGTTGTTGTATTACCACTTTGAGAAAATCAGAATTCTTTAAGTAAAGGTATATTTAATATTAATAGAATAATAAATATCAGAACTAAATTGATATATTATTTTCTCTAATAGTTTGATTTAGGAATGAAGTAAGATTTCAGCACAGGCTATACAACTCCTTGCGATCTGTATATCTAAGGAGGGGTGACCATCCATGTCACTTAGGCCCCAATAGGCTCTTCACTGGAATTTAAGACCTGCCTCTCAGCTCTCCACGTCTGCTGGTTGATATATAACGTCACTGAGAGCTATCTATAGGAACCACCTCTTAGATCATCAAATGGCCTGCATGTCTGCTTGCGATAAAATTGCAAATTATATTTTCCTGTCTTGATGAAAGTTTACAACGACATATTTATGACTTGTTTTTAATCTCAAATCAACAATCAATCAACAAAAATAAAAAGTCCCTCCCAAATGATAAATTATATTTCACGTTCATTATCGGGAAATATAAACCTCATTGGTCCTATCTCTTTTGACTTGAAGGTTAAGTTTTTAAAAGCCTGGTTTACCCCACACATACAACTTTATAGCCATCTTGAATACTGGAATAGCTACTTTTGTCAAAGTTGTTATACGGTTGCTATAAAAATAATACAACTTGTAAGTGTGGTGTAGATCCGGCTTTAAACAACTAACCTTCGAGTCGGAAGTGCCGGGACGTCAAGTGAAGTGTAATTTTATCATTTGGAAATGGTTACATTTTGTTGGTGGAGTGGTTTGAAATTAAAAAAAACTTAATACAGCAAAATGTATTATGCTATTTTATCTCAAGCAGATCTGCAGGCCTTCTGACGATCTGAGAGGTAGTCATCCCTATAGACATCTCACCTCATAGGCAGTATCTGGAGGATGCACAATGGGGCTATTGAAGCTAAACTAATGTAAGGGGAACACATCTTACAGATACAGATTACAAGCAATAAATAGCAGGTTTTGCTGA